AGGGCATGAATGTTTAGTTGGACTTTTTTTTTTGTTTTTTAATATTTTAGAGCACTTCTAAAAAAAAAAAACCCACCACCAACAAAAAAACCCCAACCAACCCAAAACAAAAACCCAAAACCAACCAAAACCCAAAAAGCATTCCACTAATAACTGATTTCATTATTAACCAATCAAGGTCCTTCTGGTATTCGTTGAGGTACCTACAATTAAGCGTGTCTCTACAACGAAATGTTTCTAATTGATGGATATCCCTAAGCATAACAACCAGTAAAAACAAAAAGGGAGCCCTTCAAATACCAGAGGCCGCTGAATTCCAGCTTCTGCATACATGATCTTATACATGCAGTGGACCAAGGGGTACTATGCTGTGCCAGTATCTCTTTATTACAAAATATGAAGAGATTCAGGAATCTCTGATCTTTTCCTACAGAATATAAAAATATGCTGTAATGGTTGCAAATCAGAATCCAGGATTGCAGGGTTAGCTGTAATAGGTATTCAGTATAGCATATGAAACCCACTGACAAATCCAGATGTATACCTGGGCAATACGCAGTACACCAATTTAAAATTTTATCATGTATACCCATGTGACTTCAGTGTACACATGCCATAAGTTTGCAAAAGTTTTATGTACATACACGTAAATGCCATACTATTATAAGTACTTGTTACAGCACTGAGATCAGAACAAGCTTTTGTTATGGAACTGGAAAAAAATATACACTGTTTCTCTTAACTCCACGGCCAGTGCTTCCTATCAAAGGCTACATAAAATTCAGTCTTCACAATGAAGGCAGGGAGATCAGGAAGAACTTCAGAGCTCTTTAAAAGCTGCAGATGGAGTTGCCAAAACAACCCTGTTAGAACTGGTGCAATGCAGACATGCCAAATCATTGCAAAACCAAAGCAGCAAGTCATCCATTTCTTATTTTATCTTTTTCTACAATGCTTCATTGTCTAAGGCAGGCTAAATGCTCTGTAGAGAGGAGTTCCACTATGTTTCTCTCAGGCTACCTCTAGATGCTTAAGCAAATACCAACTGTAGCAGAAAAACTGATGCTTAATTGCAATATCTGTTTAAGCACACGTTTTCTATGAAATGTTAATTCCGAAACACCTGTACAGCTGCCAAATATACCTTAGGAAAATTTTCTGCTTTTCATTGGTAGATGAAAACCAGACCAAAACTCTATCCTTCAAAGTAAAATCACTACAAGGAGGAAAAGAAAATTTAGTAGAGATAAAGTTTCCCCTATATGCAAATAGAGAAATAACCTCCTCCTGCAGAATTAAAAAGTAATCCTGTTTCATCCTTAAATCTTGTCAGCTATCTTGTATTCCCAATACCAATATAAAATAATTCCTCAGCCTCTTAGGTTTTTATACTCTTCAAGCAAGTACTTAAAAATCACTTCACAGATCCTACTTAAGCTTTTGCTCCTTTTCACTTTATAATTCAATTCTAGCCTTACTTTGTCTGAAGCAGCCATTTTTACTCAGTACAGACTAGGACTTACTATGCTACCTATTGCCCAAGTATCTAGGTTTTTTTCAGCAGGTTTCATACTCTGTTTGACAATGACTCTTCTCTCATTTACAATGCATACATAATGTATTTTGAGATTAAAGCAGAACATTTGCATGCCCTGTGCTTCAAAGGTTTAATACAGCAATTCTTATTCAAGCAGCAATTCTTATTCTACCTACTCATGGTGGTTTGCTGTCTATAAAAGTTTCAGAATGAAACATCTTTATCATTTTGTCAGGGGGGAGGAAAAAAAAAAAGAAAAATCTTCTTTGGATTAAGAAATTCTTACCATGTTGTTACTGTCATACATTTTCTTGCTAGTAATTCTAGGGCATAATGTGTTGCTTGTGCTGCACTTTCTCCTAAGACAGTACCCACACTGATTGCCAACTCCAGTTCATTTCCACGAATCAGGTTTGCCATCGCAAGCTTGCTCAATGAAAAAATTATATCATTAAGGGACACAAGCATTTTTGGGGATTCACCATGTTGAGCATATGACATTCATTTATGAGACTGCTTTTTACAGAAGGACAAAATATGCATTAATTAAAGCAACTTTATATTTAATTTGGGTCTCTTGAATAAATCTATAATTGTGCACCATGTGTTAATCAGTTTTTAAATAACCAAATACATTTCCTTTAGCAGAATTTTCCTTTATTCAACCAAAGAGATTACATATCATACATAAAAAGCATGATAGCAATTCCTTCTAGTCTTAAGTAAGGACACTAGCTTTCAGAGTACATATTTCCCCTCTCTTTTGATGAAAGGAAACTCAAAAGAAAACCCACAAACCAGGAAGGATTCTCCTGTTCTTACCCTCTCTGGGCAACTGGAGATGCTGATAGGCCTAGCAGAATATTAAACAGTAAGAGACTACACAACAACTTGTAACATGTCTATTTTGAAATATAGGCATTAACTGATTATTGCTTTTTCTCCGAACAGCTCATCAAGACGGAATTTTACTCATTTTGGGTGATAGAGGAGAAAGAACATGTTGGGTCAGCAACAACAAAATCCAGAGAGAATGAGGAAAAGAAACAAAATTTTGTTTGTAAAACTACAAGCAAAATGAAAATCTAAAAATGTTGCCTACATGTCAGCCCTATTTTTGTACTGTGGGGTAGAGGTTTTTTGTCCTATTTACTTCACCATTTAGACTGCAAATTCTTCAAGGTAGAGATTTCATCTTTTGTACCACAATGAAGTTCCAGTTCTGAATGGGCCTTTTGAGTCACCATAAACAATAAACAGTAATACTTGTGTATATGTATATATGTAAGGTACTTAGGTACCTTGTATTTTCTAAAATGACAAGATACCGTATATATGAAAATACAATTAAATAATAACATACTACTTTCTGTGCATGAGAGAAATCTTGAATTTAATAGAATCAGGAGAGTTTTGCTACTAACTTCAACATTGTAAGGATAAACTCTCTATATAAATATATACAAAGCAAATACCAAGTATAAATAGTACATTTTAGAATGTGGTACATACATTTTAAAAAACAGTTAATGTGGAGATGTAAAAAGGAAGTCAATGTTGGCCTTTCCATAGTTAAAGAGAAAAAAAAAAAGTTACCTCTATATTTTCAACAGCCAGATGGCAACATGCTGCAAGCACTGCATGGCCATCCTGGAAATACCATTCTGCCAGTTCTTTACTGACCTTGTGCAGGAGCCTGCAAGAACAAAACATGAATTCTGCAAGGTCACTTAAAGGTTGGAGTTCTTTGGCTCTTAATTTACGTACAAGTCATAACATTTGCTTTTGTACCCTAAAATTTCTATATTTGACTTACAGATGACGACACCACTAGCTTTCTAAATGCAATCAGTTTGATCAGCTTCATCCACTACTTACGTTGGTGCATATTCAGGTGGGTGAGTTTCCCAAAATCTACATCAGTATGGAAATGTCTCTTTAGATTGACAAAGAAAAATCAAATATTTGGATATTCATTCTGTACCTGTGAACTCTGCATAAACATCTCTCTAATTGCTCAAAAACTGCACATGTAAATGAAGTAACTACACAGCGTCCAAGCTGCTTTTGTTACTTCACATATAACTTGATAATGTAATTTAGATTTTTGAGCACTGTTCTAAACAAGGAGAGATGCATGGTTTCTTTTATGGGCACACACAATGAAAATATGGCCAGTAGTGTACATCGTCAGAAGCTTCACTGATGATAAACAGTGAAGCTTCAGGAGGAGAAGACGCATAAAACATAGGGTCTCACAGATACTTGCTAGTGCTAAATCTTACTCTACTTACTAAAAGTTTTAAGTTAATATGCTACATATTTAAACATATTTAAGTGCATAGGAATGCACCTTAAATATCAAGCAAATGAAAAGTATATTTATAATTATAATACATACATATGAAAAATCCATTTGGTTCCAGAAGGTGGCACAACGGGGGAATTATTCAGTGTAGCACCAGTTAGTTAGTAACTCTATCTACTAAGTACTAGAAGATGTAATATTTTGTTGTAGAATTCTACATTGGTGATGCCAAATTAAACCACTTAGGTTTATCTCCCTTGATGACTTTACTTTCTGTACTAAAATGAGGCTTTAGATACAAACTAGAATAACTTACTCATTATAATCATCTGTATTGTTTCCACCAGAATTTGAAGATCCACTTGTTGTGGAGAGTGGTGACATCTGTATATTTCCCTCACAAGCTGCCTAGAAGTAAATAAAAAAAATGGATTAATTAATGCACCAATCAAGCTGAATACAAAATGTGATTTTTCAACAACAACAACAAAATCTAAGATCTATAAAAATCCTTCTAAAGCCCAGTTATAACAAAGGAAATGTTTAAACTAATGAACTTATTCATACCTAAATCCTAGTTTCATCTAGCCATACAAGAAATTCTACAGAAGCAAGAGACCTCTTCTTTCCTGTGCATTTGTACAGGATTTTTCCAGCACTTGAATATGCTTAAAATGGACAGTGAGGGCTACAACCTTGATTTTTACACCCCAAGGAGCAAGTGGCTGTGAGTGAAGGATGAACTCCATAGATACTTCTCAGTAGGTATACCAGCAAATCTGGAAAGGTTTATATAGTGGCATAAGCTGAACCTTTTTTGTGTCTCGCAAAAAATTATTTCTAACATTAAATGAGAAGAGATCAGTGTGAGTTAAAAGGAAATTCTTTCACATGCTTTAAGGTGTAGCTGGGATAACAACATTAATACTCAGGGCTCAGTTAAAAGGGAAGGAAAGTCCTGGTATTTTATTGCTTAATGTTATCTGACTAAACCTTTGAGATAAAGACTATTCTATGAATTGTAATAAAAGCAACGTCTGCAATGTCTGTCTTACAAGAAAAATGAAGATCTTTTCAAAGCTTTAAGGACCTTTAAGGTTCAAACATTATAACTTGTTAAATTTAAGCATACCTCAAAGTTCCATTCTGTGCACTATTCAGCTACTATTAGAAGAACAACAACATACAGATAGACAATTTCTAAAGGACAAATTCACATGCATTATTGAAGTTCTTATCTCTGAGGCAATTGAAAGTTCAAGGACAGGTAGGCATGAGAAAATGTACCGGGGACAAATCTTGACAGTTTATTTAACAAACTAATTAAGCATGCAGAAATTACTCAAAAAGAATAAAGGAATGGTGAGAAAGAGTGAAACAATATATCAGTCTCACATGTTTTGTGTTCCCTTTAACTTGTGTTTACATTAGGAAGTAGAAAGGACATACGTGCTTTTGGTAATCTCTTGTACTGTTTTTTGCATTAATTTAAAAGTTTGATTTCCTATATTTATTACTACTGCAACTGAGCAGTTTCACCCATAGATTCTATAGGAAGTAGCATAACCAAGACCTCAGCAGAAATGCAAGAGAAATCCTACGTGTCTTAGATGTTAAGGGCAATACTGACTGCTGAAAATCAGGTTAATTTTCTACTTCAACCAAAAAAGAATACATCCATTTTCATTATGGACATTTGATTGCAATTTAGAAGAATCAGGCTTAAAATCTGTAAGCATGAGATATCTTTTTATGATTTCTGCATAAAAACAATACAATACGAAAGTAAAGAGTAGGGTACCATTATTTAGCCATTTTGCAAAAGTGAACAGACCTAGCCTTTTAAATATGCTTGTCATTTTCAGAGTTAGAAACGAATAGCTAAATACATCTCCCACACTGTTGTACGTAATACCTGTGCAACAAGCAGAGCCTCTTTAAGCTGGCCTCTTGAAGTAAAGAAACAAACTAGTTTCTTCACATCTCCAATAGCTATACAGTATGGGATGACATCATCATTTTCTTCCTGAATTAGCTGATCAGCTCTCCTAATTAAATAAATGCATACATAAACAAGAAAGATCAACATATATAATTGATCACTAAACTTATCTCTATGGTATAGGTGTTAGATGAAGCCACATAAAGTTCACTGAAACCCATCTGCCTTTCCAGACCTCAGAAGACTTGCAAACTGTGGCTCTACTGCACTAAAGTGTTTCCAGTTAAACTTGCAATTTATGCTCAACCTTTTAACTTGATTCCTGTACACAAAATTTTTATTGAAATCCTCCACAGTTCCATCCCAAAGCTTACTGAACAAAAAGTAACATCATTAGAATGCTGTAACAAAAGCAAAGTATGACTGATATTAGTATCCATCCTTCCTACTTGTCTGTGTCCTTTTATGGACAGAAGCTACAATTCAGCATCATATTTTTATCACCTTACCTTTGCATTAACTTCCTCCAATATTTCATCGACACACCAGGTGCAACTGAGAGAGCTTTGTCCCACTAGAAAAAAGCAGCAATATATTTAACCTGATCATTTTATTTTGAGAAACAGCTGTATTTTTAACTGGTTTCAAGTTTCTTCCATTAAAAATAAAGTTGTCAAGAGGTTAAATAAGGAATGAGCTATGTATTAGACTGCGTATGTTAAAAATAATATAATTGGAGCAAGATTACTCTTTTCTGGACTTGTGACCCATTTTGTTGCTACCCCATCTTTGCTAGGGTAGCTGGTTTTCAGAAACCTTCATATTTTATTGTTCTTCAATAATCTGATATTTTACCTCTCCAAGTTCTACCATTAGTTCACAATATCGCTGAATTTGTCCTAATCTTAAATGTATTTCTGCAGCTTCTTTAAGCCTCTCCTCTTTGCTTGGTGCACCAATACCACCTCCAAACTTGGACATTTTTACTGTTGTCAGTTCTTGTGCCTTGGACTGAGGGGGAAAAAAAAAACAACATGTTTAAAAAAAAAAAAAAAAGAGTACAGTTTTCTGTGATGAAAACAAGTTTTCTTAAGAATGAACTAGTGTCAAACATTGGAATATAAAGGTTACATTTAAGAAAAAAATCCTTTTGAGAAAAGGCTAATTGGAAGAGATTACAATGAGATTACAGTGAACTATTTATATTGTTAAAGTAATCGTGTTAGTGTTTTGTTGCACACATACATTTTCCTCGATTATCTTCCTTTAATCTCTTTTACATATATTTTTTTATTCTCAACCATTTTCTCATATGTAATAGTAATTCACCCAGATGTCATAAAAATCTTGATACTTTTTGAGATTTCAAAAAAATATTTGTGAACATAAGCCATACAGAGGTGGAAAGTGTACTTATTACCATTCTAATGATGTACAAATAAAGAAAGAATAAAGACAGTAGGCTCAACCTGTGTCCTGATTTGTCACACCCCATTAACCTTATGACCAATAAATGATTTATATTCCCAGCCACTGCAATTTTTATATTAGTTGAAGATATTGGACTAAATTTCTCCATCTGGCAGAGTTTGAGAAACAAGCTGCAATAGGATCACATTTAACATTAAAAAAAAAAAAAAAAGTGCAAAAGGAGCTTCACTTCACATTTCCAGAATTCTCAGTTTAATTCTTTATCACCAATGCATGTGAGATGGCGTTTGGCTATTCATGGCTTTACAATACCATATATGGAGGATGGAGAACAAACTTTGAACATTCTTCACCAAAGTAAACCGCAATGTAGACCAATGGCAGCTGCTGAGTCAAGAATTAGTTTCTTCTTCTCAGGCTAACTAGCTGAGAAAACTGGTTTTTGGACTCACGGACACATGCACAGCTTCATGTGTGCAGAGCAGCTGCTATTTTACAGTTAACATCACCAATAAAAAACTTCCATCACTTAAGAGTCATAAGGTATATAGGACACTCTTTAAAGAGTCTGTGATTCTGCAAAAAAGACAGCCTGCAACAGCAGGTGATACAACAACAGGTGATACTTGGCAGGTAGTTAGCCCTGGGGATGGCAAGTGGGGAGTTATGCATTTCCTGATCCATACCAATAGATACCTTTCCTCTCTTTCCAATCCAGTCATTAGAGTATGGGATTCTTTTGTATCCGTAAGAAGTCCCTGACAGAACCACGTAACCCCATATTCTGCACAAATTGTATGTCTGGTTGCATATTCATATATGCAGCTACTAATGAATTTGTACTTGAATTTCATGTTCATATTTGAGTCATTCTTCAGCTGCCTATCTGTATTAATGACAGGTTCTTGTTTTTCCACTCCTTCTTCCAGACAGCTACAGAGCATATTTCTGCTGACTCCTCCATTTTCAGACATGCATTCCCCTGTTCCGGCATCTGAACATAACTACAAACTTCATGTTTATACAACCAAATAATTTGACTTTATTGAATATAAAAGTACAGTATATGTAATAAGGAAAACAAACTTGCTTCATAGCTCAAGCTGCAGTGATGCTTGCTTTGCAGTTTCTTTTCATTATTTTGAAAACTGCTTTTCTAATAACTGTAACCTAGCATTTTAACACTGAGTATGCATGAATTCATGCAGACTTAGCTAGGTGCTATTGTTCTACCTGACTAGTATTGCACAGAAAACTGATATTGCACAAATATCTTTGGACATGAAATTGTGACCCTTTTGTAAAGCATTAAATGTTATTTTTAAAGAGTGAAATACTATAATGGATTAACAACCATTTTTACATACCGTTTTTGCTTCACTTACCATTCTAAATCTAATGAGATGTTTCATATGCATAATTCCTTTGCAATAGTTTTGTGGAAGCAAACTGTCATCCAGTCCTTTTATTACAGCAACTAAATCCCATAAATTTTTGCTGCCTCCTGGAGGCTAAAATTGTTAGGGAAGAAAAGAGTTGTATTACAGTTATGTTCAAGAGAGAAATTAAACATAAAGACATTGAAAAACATTTGTCAGTCAATTCCAAGAAATACAATTTCAGACCATTTCAATATTAGAAGCTTTACTATGAAGACATGAATTAGTTCAAGATACTACAACTTCTTCAGTCTTCTTGAAGGCTGTGAAGATACAGCAAGATCCATGAACGTAAGTGTTTGGTTATAAACGGACACAATTGAGGGCTCGCCATTAGAGTTTTCCCTTTTGCTCCCAAAGGAATACAAGCTATCTGGTGGCTACTGCTGGCATAAAACAACATTCAACTGCTGCGATGCCCGAGCTGCCCCAGTACTTGTTTACTGTTTTCTGTAAAGCAAAGGTGTGGGCCAGGTAAAAAACAACTTCAAAACTCGACTGCCACAATCTGGTTTACTACCTTAATATTAAATCTTAAAATAGACACATATGGTATAACTGTATATGCACAAAACCTTGCAGGCCATCAAGGCTTTTTTTTTAAAATAAATTTCAAGCATTCGATCCTTCTGTAGAACTAGGACAGTGGTTTAACATTCAATGAGGTCTAGAAGAGAGTGAGTAATTAGAAGCATTAAAAGGTTAAAAAAAAAATCATTAAACCTTTGACCTGAAGGAGCTTTTCTAAGAATAACAGGATTACAAATTTAGAAGTCAAATTATTTCTGAGCTGGTAAAAAGCAGAAGATCCTACTGGGG